CTGAGTCAATTTGTATACACGGCACCTCTGCATCCCTGGAGCTCATTTTCTTACCAATTTCTACTCACCGTGAAACGCGGCCCAGTTTTTCATTCATAGTTACACTGCCATACAGCAAATAAGAAGCAGGGCCACACTTCATCATCTCTTTCATGACTAAAGCCTCACTGAAATGCACAATATGCCAGTGCAATGGTTTCTATTTTTAATAATGTGTATTTCGTAATAAAAATATGAGTAGCAATCAGAGGTAGGTGACTTTTGTAGAAAAAAAAAAAGAGCACATAATCAAAGTTATAACAGCAAACCAAGAAAAAAGTGTGGAAGAGGTAAAAGGGATAATATTTTAATTTTGTTAGGAACACTTGATTATTAATCCATGGGGGGGAAAAGTCATTGATGTTAAAGTCCTTTTTACTTTAGTAAAGTTTGGATTTCACTTTGCTAAAATTGGTTTTCCTCAGTCCTGTAACACGTTCCATGGGAGGTTCTCAAGCTACCTTATACCATGTCCACAAAACTTATTGCTTCTTTGCAATACTGGTGATAAAATCAAGGACAGAGTAATTAATTCATTCTCCTAAAGCTTCAATCATCCATTTTACAGAGACCAAAGGCATTACATTGTAATCCCAGAAGTGAGAGAGGAAGACAGAGAAGTGAAGCCAACCTCAGCCTCYGAATCCCAATGCAAGTGACAGACAAAGCTCCTTGTTGAGGGCCAGGAAACTCATTTAAGGTTAATATATCAAATATACCTGCCTATCACAGGTTGTARGAGCCAGGATGTGCCTCTAAGAGATGAGCTCTCATGGTAGGACATCATTTAGTGGCCTTGCTACTTGCAATGACAGTGGACACAAATTGGAACTTAAGTGGTAAATCAGCAGGGGCAGAACTGAGAACAAAATCCTACGATSTCAGAAACTGATTCCTTACAAAATACTGAGTTTCTCCAACAAACCASGGGTTAAAACCAAGGCTGCAACCCAAACGATGCTGTTATAACATGTAGAGGCAATTCTAGATTGAAATGAAGGGATGGGCCTATTTTGCTTGACAAGTGAAGCAAAAATATGGAGAGGGAGTGAGTAAAATGCATTAACTACAGACTTACKGAGTCTGCCAGTCAAATAAAAAATTGTTCAGAAGGCATTTCTCCTCTCCTGTCAGAAGTTCATGGCAAGCAGTTGGAGAAAAATGTTGGCAGAGTGCCCTGTGCATGTCTGCATCACCAGCACATATCGGAGTCATCTCACCCCAAGGAAATAAGGACCTTCTCCATAAACCTAACAAATATGTTCCTGGTTACAACTATATCCAAAGACAGCCCCAACCAAGGCRGAAGTCAATATACCAAATTCAATTAATCACTACAGTCAAACCACAGAGCAACAAAAGAACCAGCTCAGGTCCAGAATAACACCATGATTCACGTTGTGGCTATCATTCAGCGGGACGTTTRAAGGCTTTGCCACTTGCCAGGTGTCTGCCATGCATGAGTAACATTCCTTAAAAATGCCCACTGGAGGGTAGGGACACTGCCCCAGAGCTCGAGTGGGGCAACGAGGCCTCACCTGCAACCAAGGACAAGCAGAGGACAGGAAGGACAGGCCAGAYGCAGCCTTGCAGCCGTGAACCCAACAATCCATGGGGATCAGGACAATAAAAGACAGTGGCACACATGGAAGCTTCAGGCGAGGTCTGGATGAAAGCCTTCCAGTGCCAGTGACGATGAAGGCAGCAGAGCTGGCGGAGTCTCCAAGTCAGAAGAAGCCAAGACCAAGAAGGCTCCCACAGCACGGACCTTGCTGGAACCCMGCAGTAAAGCACGGGGACAACCCAAGGCCCCATCCCAGCCCGCGCTCCACAGGAGGTGGACGAGCCTCCTTGTGGGGCCAGGCAGAAGAGCACACATCACCCAAYGGGGCAGGAACATCTCCAGCAAGATCTCACCCCGATGCGCCGACAGAGCCCCATTGCCAGGGGCAGCCTTCACCGCTGGGCTCAACTTTGTTTCCCCATACCCTGTTGGTAGAACCTTTTTCCTCCCAAGGAATATTATAATTCCAGGAGCCCGGGATAACTACAGCAATACATTTTTTACAGGTATTATCTCAGTCCAACAGGTCTAACAGGGAACTTTGCAAATGCCCTTAAAACTCAGAAATACCTGCTCATCAACCCCGCCAACTTGCAGGTTTGATTTTTTCCTGTTACTAGCCTGCCCATCTGGCTCCTATTCCTGATTTTCTCTCTTTTGTTTTTCTTCATTATGAAATCCTAGTGGAAATCAGGCTAAACAAAGATGATTAGATGAAAACCATGAGCCAAGGTATGTGAGATTTAGTTTATCCCTGGTGTCAGCAGAGTTAAATGCATCAGGGAGCAATCAGGTATATTGACATCTGAAACGTTTGTTCCTTAGAGTTCACTTCTATGGCATATTTTCTGCTGGATACACTTCCAAAAGAGTAAGAATGCTATAAATACAGTTATTCTCCAAAGCGTTATTGACAAGAAAAAAAAGTTATAAGTAGTATCGATTTGGGGTGAAGTGAGAAAATGGGACATCAATAGAGCTTAGTCAGATATAAAATAGAGGGAGTCACACATGTCATGGCAGGATTACTGCCGGAGCAGAACTCTGCTATCAGATAAGGAAGTGAGGAAAAGGATCCAAATTGTAAGCAGCAGATACTGAACTGCTTTACAGGAAGGAAAAAAAAAAAAATTTGTATTTTTTCCACATGTGAAAGAGTTTTTTATTTTTGTCACTGATGTTTTGGTAAAGCTTTTGAAACAAATTCTTTCCACCTCCATAGTATTTTCATTAAATGCCATTATAGCTATTTTCAAATCTCCAAGAGAAGTATCATTATCCTTATTTAACAGATAATGAGAAGATATYAAAAGATTGTGGCTACACCTTGAAGCAGAGTCAGTAATGCTGTGTGCTCCTTCTTCATGGCTATGCAAACCCATAAAATGAGAGTCCTGCAGAAAGAACATTATCCAAGGTCCCAGAATCACAACTTTGGCCGATGTCCACAGCTGCTTTGAAATCCTTGAGACTCTGGATCACAGCTGGATTCAAAGACGGAGCCTGCGCAGGAGCTGCTGGAAGTAGCTCACTCTCAGGCATAACAGGGCATAAAATAGGAAAAGTCTGTGCCCTCTTCCAACTACAAACCCCGCTGTATCACGACTCCGGTGACTAAGGGTGACAGCACCAGACACAAATGTATTCTACCACGTGAGAGATCCGTACATTTCCCACTGCTTATATGGTTTGCCACTTCCTAGTACAACCGCACAGGAAAATAACAGCAATCATAACCAGTGAAATTGCTATTTCCATGTTATCTCAATTGGGCACAGTTGTTCAGCACATTAGACTAGACCCTGNTGCCTCATCTCTAGAGAGTTTTGTATCCTAACAATTAAATAAATGCTCCTTTCCCAGCAGCTCTTCTCCATACCTGCATGAACACACACAGATTATAGCTAATAGAGTCAAGTTTACTTAGCCAAAAGCAACACAAGCAGACTGGGGAGATGTTCCCACAGCAGAGTGTACAGTGGGAATGAGACCTCCTCTTTTTCAAAAGGGCTTGGGAAGAAACAGTGATCACAGGGAAGAGAGTATTAGCAAGTACCCTGAACAAAAAAAAAAAAAAAAAAAATGAAAAAAAAACCCACTCCTGAAACAGCCTAGATCTTGAAATATTCTCAAATGCTTTACAAATGCAATTGGATATAGAATTAGTTACACCACCGAGGTGAAATGCAGTAACGTTAATAACTATCAACATCACAGAAGAATTTATGACAGGCTCGGATGAAAAATGCTACATTCAGGAGATGCAACCCGTACTTTGCAGCGCCTCTCCCACTAATCAGCTAAACAAGCGCTGACGATCGAACCGCAGGATCCGGGGGCTCCGTGGAGGGGGCTCCATGGAGCCCCCGCGCTTTTATGAATGGAGCCAGGAGGAGGGAGGCAGAGCCTGCCGAGCGCGCCGGCAAGCGCGGCCCCGAGCAGCCCGCACGACAGCCCCGCGAGAAGCCTCGCTCGTCCCTGATGCCTGCAACAGCTTAGAAGCCTGTTTGACTGGAATCACGCTTGCAGGCAGAGAATTTCTGTCCAAAATAAAATAAAAAGGCATCACAATCCTGAGGGGAAAATCACAGCAAACCGTATCAGGAGGAGGCTGGACAAGACGACCTCTTGAGGTCCTCTTCAGCCATATTCCTGTAATTCCGTGTTCAGTGACAGCAGACACGTCTGCATCAYAGCTGTCTGGGTTTGGGTACTCAAGTGGGAAAATCTTGGCTCAAGTCTTTAGCATGAGGAGCCCAACCAGGTTCTACATCGAGCTGTGCCTCCCATCAGCGATGCGCTTTGCTCATAAAATGGCTTATTCGCCCAACACGGACACAGAGCCCCGTGCCAGCACGGAGATCGTTTGGCACCGCTCACATCATCTCAGCTAAGTTCATTTTACAGCAAAGCAGTTTACTTGAAGACTTTTGCGGCAATCCAAGCCTAATCACCAAATCAATTCCAAGCCACTTGGTAATTAAACGAACCTGGCTCAAAATACCTCACAGGCTCAATAATTTGAAATGACGGCGTAAAAATGTAATTAAAAATGCCCTYCCCCCTCCCAAAGAAAGAAGAAGAAGAAAAAAGGCAGGTAAAGAGCAGAGGAGGCGGCCATCCCTCCAAGGGGATAGGGGCTGAAGGACGTTTCGGCTGTGGAGCCGCTCGCCGCAAATCACCCGCTCCCCTCCCGATGGATGCTGTGCCCAGGGAATGCCAGGGAGGATACGGAGGGAGGATAAGGAGGGGATGCAGCAGGATCCGGGGGGAAGCTGTTGCGGAAATAAAGAACCCCCCGTGTAAGGGTGTTCCCCCGCCCGGGGGGAGCGAGGGGGTCCCCGCCGCGGGGGTCCCGCCGCCGGTGCCGCCGGTGCCGCCGGTGCCGCTCACTCACCGGCCGCCGCGGGTCGCGGGCCGAAGCTCAGCGCGAGCTGCATCCAGAGCGCGGCGGCCAGCG